AAGCGGTGTATTTTGGTTTTATAGCCTCTCCCTCCATCTCTTCTTGTGCCATATAAAAATTAGCTAATATTTTATTCATATTCTTAATAGCAAGAAAATTTAATTGTAATTAATTTCTGTGTGTCTGAATTATTATCTTCTCTGAGTTGTTTTAGGTAATTGCATCAAAGTTTTACTAAAACTTTTCACTATAAAGAGACTTTCTTTACTACTTTCTACGACCTGGAGATGGCCAAATGTTTTTTTTCTTACCAGGAAATTGCCTACATGAACGGTCTTTAAGTCTGTCGCCTTTCTTTACTGTCAATCCACACTTAGGAATTGATGATAAATAAACTTAGCAAGTATTCTCAGTAATAATTCTAATCAAGCTAGGAATAAATAAAGCCAGCAGCTGTCTGTACTGATAGATACCTCAAAATAACCAAGATTGGGGCAGCTAGTGGTATAGCGGTCTTTTATAATGGTACAGTGCTCCTTTCAGATTTCTGAGTGTACCCCAATTCCAGGATGATGCACCTTTCCTCTGTCTTGGTCACATTTTACTCATCTGTTTTTCCTGCTGTGGTGGGCTGACCTCGGGGGGGTCAGAGCAGTGGGGTGAAAAGCTCATGGGTCGAATGAAGACAAAACACCCGTGCAGTGTTTTGCCCCTTTTATGCAGGCCTTCCCAGAGGCGCCACCGGCATCGCTGACGGGCTCAGCCGTGCCCTGTGCTGGGGCCGCGGCGGAACGGGCTGGAACTGGCACAGGGCAGCCCTGACCTGCCCTCACAGAGGCCCCTGCGGCCCCTGCTGCCGACACCCGGGTACGGACACCCAACGCACCTTTGAGCTCCTGACCTCAGGGACCTTGTGCTTCTGGAAAGCTGCTGGTTTCACACACAGAAATGACTGAATTTTTTTTTTTTTTTTTTCCTGGGTGAAGCTGGGTATGAGGAACAGGTAGAAAAAACACCTGTTGAAACAACTGGAGGAATTCTGTGAGAAACATTCTTATCAGCAACGAATTAGAAATTAAAATTAAAAGGCAGTTAATGACTGAAGAACCTGTATTAGACTTTGAAGATAATTAAGTACTAAAAGATATTCCAGGTTTACTTATGAAAAACTTTAAATTTATGATGTAATTTTGTGTGGACCATTGGCTGGCTGGCTGGAAAGTAAAAATAAGCATCTGTATGCAGAGAAGGGAGGTGGCTATCCAGAATTGTTTTACCAAAAGCAATAAATGAATGGAAACAACCGTTCTGTGAAGAGAAACCTTTGAAATAACTTTAAGTAATGGTAAGAATGAGACTGGTTATATGTCGTGGTTTAACCTCAGTTGGCAACTAAGCACCACGCAGCCGCTCGCTCACTCCCCCCCCTCCCGGTGGGATGGGGGAGAGAATTGAAAAAGCACGTGAGAAAAACTTGTGGGTTGAGATAAAAACAGTTTAATAATTGAAATAAAATGATAATGATAATAATATGATAATAGTAATAATACACAAAGCAAGTGATGCACAGTACAATTGCTCACCACCTGCCGACCGATGCCCAGCCAGTCCCCGAGCAGCGGCCCCCCCGGCCAGTTTTCCCCAGTTTATGTACTGGGCATGACGTCCCATGGTATGGAATGTCCCTTTGGGCAGTTTGGCTGTGCCCCCTCCCAGCTTCCTGTGCACCTCCAGCCTTGTCAGTCGGTAGAGCATGGGGAGCTGAAAAGTCCTTGACTAGTGTAAGCATCACCTAGCAACAACTAAAACATCAGTGCCTTATCAATTTTGTTCCCATCCTAAATCCAAAACACAGCACTGTACCAGCCACCAGGAAGGAAATCAACTCTATCCCTGCCGAAACCAGGGCATTATATTTTCCTGTAAATGTTGTTGCTGACTGCAGAATGGAAGGGAATCAAGACTATATAAAATAAAGCAGAGTGCTTAAAAGAGGTTTGTGCAGCATTGAATAAGCTTGCTAAACTTCTGGTAAAATCATTGGTGTGCTTAATTTTATCAGTGTTTCTCAGATATATTAGAAGCAATAGCCAAAGTCTGCTTTGTGAGGTGTAACAGTTCTCATAAAACCTTGATTATCCTGTGTAGTTTGCATCTATACTTTTGTCAAAAATGAAATTGGGATTTAGCCTACAGTGTTCCTGAAAATATGGTTGGTTAGATTATGATGAACATAACTTCATCACTATGAATATAATTCCATAACTTTTAAGTTGGAACATTGGCAGCGTAGTCAATCTTATCAGGTTTTCACATAATAAATAGCTACAGAGCTCTGCAGATTGTTTTTTTTGTCAATTTGCCCAAATCTGTCTTTATGCTTACCACTTTTCCTTAGAGTTATGTTGTTATAATCAGGTAGGAACTTCAATACTGTCTGAATGTTCAGTTACAGTCTCTTGCTATCAAAAGAATGAATGCAGTATCTTTCATACATCAGTCAAGTTTTACATTAAAATTAGATAGGCTTTCCTGCCTTTCTTCTTTATTGAAAGACTGAAATCTCACTCTTCTGATAGTTAGGCGCAATCTAATTTTCCACGTGGTTTTATTAACAGCCTGTTCAAAGTTATTTGGGTTTTTTGTGCCAATACTGTCTTTTACTTGCATGCTTCTTTCTCTTTCATGTGTTGGGGTTTTTTAAGTAACAATATACTTGTTGGGGCTTTATGGATTTTTTTGTGGTTTTTTTTTGGTTGGGCAAGATACGACATAAGGCAGCTTCTTTCACAAACTAGTTATGTAAAGATAGATGGCCATAATTTCGGTGCTGCAGGATTTTATTTTGAAAACATTGCAGAAGAATGGGTTTAAAAGGAGCTGGTGAGTTAACCCATAATGCTTAGGACAAGCCTGGAAATTATTGTACAAAGACTAATAAAATAAAGTCCTCTGTCATCTTAATAAAATGAAGCAGAGATCGTGTAACTGTTCCTACGGACCTGCCATGCCAACTTTTTTGGCCAGTTGGTCTCAGACACAGTGGACTTGGCAATGATAAAGTAAATCTATTTCAGTCATTAATAAGAATCATCTGTTCTCTTCTTTAATCTGTGCAAGTCTGGGGAAAAAAAACCCCTAGTGTTAGATCAGCCTTTGCTTTAGATGACTTACAGTTTTGATAAAGCAGCTGAAGTAGTTTTTTAAATTTAGGAAAGCCTTTGTTCTTTCCCGTGAGCAATATAGTCACTTAATATTGAGAGAGAGATTAAGAGCAAATTATCTTGAATTTGAAAATGAATTTGCTGGAATTTCACAGAGAAATATTGCTATTCTTCCATTTCCCAAAGCAATTAACATAGTTTTGATGAGTCAACATTTACTAAGATAAATCTTTTTGTCAGCAGTTTCCAACTGTATCTAAAACTGTATCGAGCTTTAATGTAGTTCAGTAATAAGACTGCATTTTCCTTCCTAGTCCTCATCACGTCATATGCAATGCTAAGATTATTATATTGACTTTAGAGTACAGAGTTAAACAAGCCTTCTAAATTGAAGGGGTGTGTGCCCCCATAAAGCTTCAGCTGTGCCAGTGCCACATGAATCAGTTGTCTTCACGTCAGAGTATTTGTGTGCTTTTAAGCTGTTAAGCTATATATCTAGTGAAAAATAAGGCTTGGGAAAGGCTTGTAAGAACAATTGTTGGAGAAGTGAGGATAAGCAGTGAGTAGATGTTAAAATGGACTGTGGCACGAGTCACAGTACATTACGAGTAATGTATGTGAGTAGATAGTTTACTCATAACAAGTACTCCTACTCACACCCAGCACACTGAATTATAAAAGTGGAATGTATTTATAAGCATAACAAAACACAGAGAGATGTGATAATAAACCATCCATTTTAATAAGGAATTAGAATTCTGGACTAATTCTTTCCCAGTAGGATTTATCACTAGCTTATAAATAACTTACAGGTATAAGACATGGCAAAAAATAACAGAATAAACAAAATACTCGGAGACTTCCAGACCCTGCTGCTACCACTTTCTCAAGGAAAGACTGGAAGAGAGCGATACTAACGTTTGTGCTCAGGTTCATTTTCTGGCTGGCTTAACTCCATTAAAGTTTAGTCCAGGGACGGGTAGGGTAGGTGAAAATGATAGCTGTGTCTCCGATATATTTATTGCTGTGTTTTACTGATGTCTTGGTGAGGAGAGAGAACTGCAGTTATAGCATGCAGTTGCAATCTAAGTTGACCTTTTCTATTATCTAAGAAGTTTTGGCATGGTTTGCCCTAATTACTGATTAAGTTTTGGTAACTCATTGTGACTTGCCATTGCAAGTGGATTGGAGGGTTGAGATATACAGTATGATCTTTCTTTCCGGTTTTTGGAAGTAAAGGAAGTCCAAAAAAAATCTTCAGCTGCATTATCTCGGCTTTATGTTCAACAGGTGCTTTCATACATTGGGATGTGAGTGTGCGTGTGTATATATACCTGCTTATATAAGACTGCGTATGTTGTTCTGTCCTTCCATACCTTATTAGGAAAGCTGAAACTGTCAAAATTACCTAACATAATACTTCATGCTATCATCATTGAGAAAGTGTATTTAATGTCTAATGCGTTCTTGCTTTTTTTTTTAAAAAAAAAGGCTTTTAACTGAGCATTAGGAGATACGTCAATTATACTGTGATAGTTCTATATGTGTCCACTCTAAATGTGCTTGAAAAAAGTAAAGAGACAAATTCTAACCAAATCTTCACGATTAGTATCAAATTTACAGGGGGTCTTTTTTTCTTATACTGGTCATCTCATTCTTCGGGGAATATGGTGTTTTCAAGCTGCCAAGGGGTATCTTGATTTGAATGTATATCTGTCTTTCTCTTTTGTTTAGATTGAAAAATCTGCTCTGAGTCTAGTCCAAAAGAATGGGCTGCAAGTGGTATCCTTGGCAGGGTCTCATTACAGCAGCACTGATCTGAGCTGTTTTTTTTCTTACTCTGCTCACTGTGATAGTGAACTAATGAATTTACTTCTCTTTTTATGTTCATACAGCTTGAAGTTGAGGTCACAGATATAAGTGGGAAAACCATCGATGGTCCAGTCCGCCTAGATATTTCTGTTATTGATCAAAATGACAACAGGCCAATGTTCAAAGAAGGACCCTATGTTGGTCATGTCATGGAGGGATCCCCTACAGGTAAGACCATGCCAATCATATCTCTATAAATAATGTCTGAACACATTCTGTGTTGCTAAATGCATTATTATCATATTGTACAACTTTTCTTGCTGATTTTGTGGCTCACTGAATCCTTCCCCCGCATAAAGAGGTGGGAGCAGCCCTTTAGGACAGCAGGTGATGATTTTTGAAAAACAGTCAAGTCTCTGAAGTAAAAAAGAAAAAAAAGAAGTAAAATAATGTAGTTTGGAATGAAAACTTAGATTTAAGTTTACGCATTTTTTTTCCTATCTGGGATCAACAAAGACAACCCCTAGGATATGATTAAGATTCAGACCAAATAACATGTACAAATTCTGTTCAGAGTGGGAATTTTACCTTTTTCTCTGTAAGGTTAGCTGCTGGAAGGGTCATTTTTATTTGCTTATATAGCATGAGGCGAGGTAAATAATAGGAATAAATGGAAAGTGTTATGATTATGCTAATATTGTAGGGCAGATTGAAATACTGAATGATGTTACTTGTGTAAATGCAGATACAACAGTTGCAACAAAATCAAAACACACTTTGAGAGTTAAAATTAGTAATGAAATTGTTCTGACTAAATTCACTCTTGATTTTATCTGATGATGAAATTCTATAAGAATAAGATATTGTTCCAAATTTAATTTGGGTACAAACAACCATCCTAGCTAAACTCTTTCTGCAGATGAAGGCTAAATTAGTTTTCTTCAACTGTTGTCCTCAGCTGTTGTGCAATTTTGTTGTGAGTTATTAAACAGCTGTTGCATTCCACTCAAGAGGTATCTCCACTGCATTTGTAAGTGGTAATTGTATGATTGGATTATGTTATGGAGTTAACCTGGATCTTAGTGAAAGAAATCTAAAACAGTAGAAGCCCCCATTAAAATCAGTGGAGTGCTAGTGATCTAATTGAGATCAGAGTTGTGGTTATATGTTTGTATGTTTTTCTATACATCATGGAACACAAGACCTTATCCTCCTTATACAGTTGAAGCTGTGAGTATAGACGTAAGGTTTTGGCTATATAGGCATCCTGAAATATTTTGAAATGAAAGCTGGAATCACGTATATTATATTTTTATGAATATTTAATATTCATTGAAGCTTAATATGGTAACGTGTTTTGTTTACTCTGAACAAGGATAGACATTACCATTCACTTTCTTGTATTACATATTGATAGGACTAGAAGTTATTCTTTGTCCTTATTTCATTATTTATGTAGTTTCTCTAAATCATGTAACCTTCTTAGTGAGTTTTGCATTTTCATGTATAGTTGCCATTGTTTGAAAAGCTGTAGGTATGAAATGCATTATGAGCTGCTCCTTCATCAGATTAAAAAAAGTGTTCAGGTAAATGTTCGTTTACCTTACTTGTGACAAGCATGTAATGAACCAATTGACGATCTTTTCATCCAAATAGAAATGTGTTTCATATTTGTGAGTATGGCTGGTGAGTGGAACACTAACTCTTTTCTGTTGTAGGTCTCTAGTACATTCTTAATTTATTTCAGATATTGATCGCTTACTCAGAATTCAAAAGAAATTTCCTTAGACTGTCCCACTTCCCAGTTATATAAACACACTTTGTTATTCCTTGTTAATTATGTAACAAGAGTTTCATAATTAACTGAGAATATATTGCTAACAAATGTCAGATTCCTTTGCACAGCCAGTCAATAGTATGTAGCAGAGTGTGACTACCTATTTGGATCAAGGGACCAACGTTACTACGTTTTCATTTAAACTACAGCATCTTCTTGTTGTGCCCATTTAGATACATGTTCCTAGACCACTGAGTAGGATGGTGTAGTTTTAGTAGATTCACAGCCCCTAAATCCAGTATTTCAGTAAGAGAAAGTGGTGCCAAACAGCTCAAACTCTGCAGTGTTTAAGCTTTAATCCTGCTGGTACTATGAGAGCTCTGGATATGAGCTGCGAGTTCCTGCAAGTCTTTCAGTGATCTCATCTCTCTCCATCAAAGCAGAAGTTTATATCTCTTATGTACCACATACCCTTCCAAAACAATATTTAATGTTTAGCTTTGTCTGTTAATTGCAGGCTATGGGACAATATTTAATTGTTATCTGCTACATGTTCCTTCTTTACTCAAACTCTAAATGAAGTTTCTCTGCCAAGGATTTTTTTTTTTTTAACTGGCAGTTCCCTATTTTTGCTCATCTATAAACTATCCTTCCTTTTCCTTTTTTTTTACTCCTTATATTGAAGTTTATGGTTCTGATTCAGTAGACATGTTTCTCAGTCCAATTTCCAGTGAATTGTTCTGTAATTTTTTTCATCAATTTTCTCTTGCTGCACTTTGGTATTTATCCATGTAGCATTTGGCATTTTGATTGTCTTACCTGTTAGTTTGAATAATTTTTCTCAACTTGATCTTTTTCTTATCCTCTCCCTCTTTCCCCCAGGTATTCATCCCATTAAACTTCATAACCTCATTTTCCTGGTGTCAAAACCACCAATACTTGCAAAATTAATTTGTGCAAAAGTGAACCTGTAGAATCAGCGTTAGCTAAAATCTGTAATAGTTCTCTATGCAGATGGCATCCAGTCAACCAAGATTTCATGTTGTTTACATCTGTTTTCCATAGTTCTTCAAATTTTATGGCATATATCCTTAAAATTATTCATCAGGTTCTGCTGTCTTGCTGCTCCCAATCAATAGTCGCGCTGCACAGCTTGATAGAAATCTTTGTGCATGTGTTTGCATGTATGATTCCTGATTCCTTCTTATTGTATTAAGATTGTATTGTTGTATTTCTTTTTTGAAGTTCCAAAAGAAAGGCTTTGCATTATATGCATAACCTTATTTTCCTATCACAGCCACCTTCATCCTCATTCAAGCTCTGAATCAAACTCATTCACTGAAAGAGTATTCTGCTGAAAAATAAATAATGCTCATATAGGTATGTTGGATCTGCCTTCATGAGCACTGGGTCAAAGTATAAATGTCCATGGATTCCAGTAATTCTGGAATAGAGAGTATATAATTATGTAGAAAAAGATCTAGATATACTGGACTGTGAAACTTGCCTGAAGGATTCTGAGGCCTTGTTAAGGGATTCAGATGATACTATTATCTGGCTTTAAGTTATTCATTGCTGGGTTCCTGTGTGTTTCCCTGTGGCACCATAATTTTAGCAGGCTTAAACCCAATGAAATTTTCTAGTGCCTTTCAAGTATTTATTGACTCTAAAACTGCACTTACACATTGTCTATTATTCATTGGAAATATCAGAGATTTACTAATAAATAAATCTTAGAGAGAGTTAGCATCACAAATTTAAGTATATAAATCTTAATATTCAAGTGAATGTTTATATTGGACTTCCTTGACGTTGCTGTAAGACACATGTTCCAGCTTTTTATTGTTTTCCAAAATGACTTTTTTCCTTAATGATTTGAAGGTTTAGTTCCTGAAGTAGAGAAAGACACAAAACTTACAAGATTACAGTGAAATGTTGTGCCAATCCCCTTTTAAGGACCCTCCTTTCCCTGCCATTGGAGATAGTTACAAGTAGAAGAAAACAAAAGAAAACACTGAGAGCGTGTGTAACTTTTGTGTTTATTTAATCTGTCTATGGGTAATTAAAGAATCTTTTGTGCATAGTGCCAATGAGGATGTGTTTTGGTGGTGTTTTAATACATTTTCTGTGTTACTAAGGCCACTCATGTTTTTTGTGTGTGTGATTTTTGAAATCACAGTAAACACCACTGGTTATTTGGACATCTACAATTTGTGTGTCATCACTTTACTAGAGAGGCAAATACCTGGGTGTAATTACTGAGAATATAAACTTGTATATGCATTCATCTGAATTTCAAGCTAGGGCTTGCCACAGCTTAAAATTAATGATAAAAATATGTGAATGGTAGGTGATATAGTAACATATTTCTTTCCTGATATATCTTTCCTGGAGAGATTTCATGATATAATTACAGTTAGTTAGCTGTTTTCATGGAAAACTGTCATATTCCTGGAAATAGCCTCCAGTCAAATTCTAACAAGAGTATGCTCAAATGTATGCTTAAAGTGACCATAGATGTTTTCAGATTTCTATTAGGAGGTCTTTTCCTGGACAAACTGCAACCTTGGAGGCTATTTATTTAAAAAAAAAAAAAAAAGGCAGTAGAGAAATAGTTTGCATTTTTTTATTTATAAAGTCTCTCATTTCTGTATGCGACTGAAGTCAGCATATATATACACCAGGAAAATAATAGTTGAGCCTGATTCAGTGACACCTATGGCAATTTTTCTACTGACTGTGATGGGTTTTGTGTTAACTGTACTGCTGATTTCTCACATTTTTGTTTTCTAAGTTATGACCCAGTTTATTTCCTATAGATCTCCGGTCTATCCAGCTGCCGACTCTAGGGTTTAGGGTCTGTATCCTGCTGCAGACTTTCCTCAATACATTAATAAGGTGCCTGTAATCTTATGGATTACATAGGCAGGCAGAAACGTTTGGACATCTCGCTCTTTAAAGGTTGGAAAGTGAAGGGTGGTTAAATGAACTTGACAGCCATCTCATTTCACTTGCTGGAGGCATTTAACAGAAATTATTTTAAACACACTTGACATTATGTGACTTGTAACAATAGGCTGCAAACCCACTGGGGTAAAATCTTAACTGCAGTGGTTGGGAGAATTGCTCGAGAATTGCATGTAAAAAAAGTAACTTGTATTCCATGATGCACAATAGCCTGAATACATTGCATTCCAGCCAAGGAGCCCCAAACCAGGACTGATAGATGTCTATAAATAATTGCTAGAAATAAAGGGACATTTGAAGACATTTAGAGAAGAAACAGAAGGAATTAAGAAGAGTAGCCTAGGGGGTTGTTCAGCATCATAAAATAATAATTTGTAAAAATGGATAAAGCATGAGGAAGGATCTGAGGCACTAAGTACTACTGATAGCTATGCCTTGTATAATAGTGCACGGCTACGATTCAGATAAATGAAAACGGCGGCTT